TTCAGGACTACCTGAGCCAGCCCTAACTATAAGCTTTATCAAAGAGGAAAGTCTTAAGCCTACTCTTAAATGTGGAGATATATTTGTATTTGATAAAAGCTAGATTTATACCTGAACAATCTGTTGCAATTCAATACAACAGCTCTGCTATAAATTCTACCTTTTCCAAGTTTATAATGTTCAGTTTTTGTTGATTTTGTCTGAAACATGTAAATTCAGTTACATGTTTGTTACTGAGCTCATAGTTAAAGTTGCTGTTGTGCTGGAATACGTTATACGTTGTCGTATATTTACAGACATGAGGCGACGCTTAGTTTCCAGACTTTTGGTAGAAGTTAGAAATGTTTGAAATATCATGTCCTATCTAACAATGCTGGGAGGAGCAACTGAGGCTGATACTGTGCTTTTCTGTTCCTCTGTGTTTTTCTGTTAAACACACTTTAATCCTCATTTACAAGCAGAGAAGAGACGAACAAGAAACATCACAGTGTTACATTTATAATCCTGTTATTGTCCTTTTATAGCTGATGTGTCTGTTTACTGTGTTCACAGGAGCATCTCCAGAGCCGTCTGTCAAGATACTTAATCAAACGCAGGACGTGGCCCTGCTGCAGTGTGAAGTTGAGGTGCTTTTCCTAAACCTACAGTAGAGTGGCAGGACAGTGCTGGAAACAAACTTCCTGCTGAGGAGCCACAGGTCTCAGAAAGAGGAGGCAGCTTCTACATCACCCTCCAAACTACTGTGATGAAGACCGACCGCTATCGCTGTGTAGCCACACAGGAGGAGATCAAACATCGGATTTATACTGAGATCCACGTGTTTATCTGTGGTGAGATTCTTCCTGGTTGTGTTTTTAACATGTCATTCATTTTAATAGTTGTGTTATTAGTATTTAAGTGTCTTCAGACTGAACTCAAAGCAGGTTGTGATGAAGACGTCTGCAGAAGTGTAAAAAGTGTCAAACTGAGTGAAAGCTTCACTCTTATACTGAGACTCTGAGACTTCATGAATCTACAGAGATGAGAGGAAGAATGAGAGGGTCTGCAGGGAAATAACAGAAAGAAACTCTGAGATCAGTCTGATCAAACACAGGAACACAAGAATTTAGTAAACTTCACTCACAAACCCAGTAACAGATTTATAAATGGCTGCTGCAGCCTGATCCTGAGGATCGACATGAAAACAAGTTACACTGATAACTGAAAGATGACTTTCTTATAATTATGAGAAGATACTTTTCTGTAGTTATATGAAATCAGTGACTTTGTTGATGAAAGATAAATTTAAAAAATGACTTGTGTAAAGCTGCAACAACAATTATTTTCATTTTTTATTACTCTCTATTTTTTAACATAATTTAAAAAAAATTAGTAATGTAATGGTAAAGAACGCTTTGTCGCCCACTGTGTCGAGCAGGAGCACATCAGCCATATAACCAGTGCTGAGTGAGCTCATCCTATTGGTGGTTTTATCTGCAAATAGTTTTATACTTTAGCAGCATGGCCGCCTCAGTAGTAGTTCTGTGTAGGTAATAACCAGTGTGCTGTACATGAGATACAGTTTACATTCTGAGTGTGACTCTAGGTTTTGTTGTGTGTTTCAGAGAAACTGTTTGAGGACACGAGCAGCAGAGGGGACGTCACAGGATGGTTTTTTAGTGGATTATCTTTAGGAGCTCTACCTCTGGCAGTTCTATCTTCACTTGTAGCTACAAAGTTCATCACAGTACGCTGTAATAAAGGTGAGTTTATATAATGGATTGTATCAACATATTCACAGACATGTGCAGACATCAACATCACAGATACTTAACAGAAACCATCTCATGTCATAATGGTCTCATCTTTTCAGATATATAAATATATATAATGTCTTTATTTGACAGGAGCAGCTGAAGAGAGACCGGAAACCAGGGAGAGAGACATGATGACATGCAGCACAGGATCCGAACTTGTGTAATCCAACCTGTGCGCTACACCAGGTGAGCTACTGGACGCCCTTATGTTTATGCCTTTATTTATTGGTTCTTTGATAAATATAGCTGTAAATATAAATTGTCCATTAAATTGATGTTGTCCTTTTGATTTCCCAAAATGTGAAATTATTTCTTTAAGTTTTTTTAAGATCTTTGAACATCGTTCACTTCTTGTTTTTCCATTTTGTCTCTGGAAACATTTGAAAGTAAAAGTCCTGAATATTCTGCCTGTCTGCTGATACTCACCACCATTTAAATGATTTGATTATCTCCTGAAGTGCAACTGTAAAAACAAACTGTGCTGTTATGTCCTGATTCTTAAAATGATCGAATACACCAAAATATCTGTGCAGTATTCTGAGGTGAAACATCAGCTCTGAGTCAAAGCTCGCTCATTATTTGTGTTTGTTTGATGTCATCTGGTTTGTGACTGAAATATTCACAAATGACAGAACTAACAGGTCTAAAACAAAGGGAATGAATAATCAGAAAACACATTGTAGATAGTGGCGAGGCAAAACTATTTAGTAATGTTAAACTAATATGTTGGTAACAATATGATAAACTTCTAACAATAAAATGGTTTCATCAGTGCAATATTTGGATTATATAATTGGTAATATGATGAAATAATGGGGTAATAACCTGATAATAATGAGGTAATATAGTATAATATTTAAATAGTTTAGAATATAGGTTGATGTCACAATATTATTCGCTTCTATCAACACAATATCTTCAAAATCACATGAAAAACATTCTGTCCTGTTTCAAGGTAATACTGTATAAATTTATTGGTTATTATAAACACTGATACTGATTTATCTGCAATTACTCATATTAATTTATCGATCGGGCTCTAGTACAAATTAAATGTTTAATGCTGTGACTTTTTACCTGAAAAACAAATTCTCTGAATCAAGGCTGCAAAATGCTGAACTACCTTTTTCCATTTCATTTATTAGTAATTTTCTGTCCTCGCACAATGCAGTGTTACATATAACATTTTACAGAGTGCACATCTGTTAAGTTTCTGTCAACTCTACAGTAACTTTACCTTTGCCTCCAACCTTAGTGATCACCTTACAGTGGTTTTTCATCTTTATTTTATCGTTAGGTTACCACATTGTTACTAAAATATTACTCTAATTCTATTCTAATTGCCGCGTTGCTATCTCTAAATGTGTTTTCTCATTATTAACCTTTGCTTTTGACTCTTAAAGTGTTACATACATTTAGTCTAATATTATCCAGATATACCCATTGTTAATACGAAGCTATTACCCGGTATTACTTCAGTAATTACATGGTATAACATATTACCTCTTTAATATTAAAGTATTACCATGTTACCTGAGGTCGCATTTCAAAAAAATCAGACTATGAAGGTAAATATGGTGCAAAATGTGAGAACTTGTAGACTTGATGTGAGCACTTGTAGAACAAAAATCTGAACTTGTATGTTGGAATTTTTTTGGCACATTGTAAGGCTGTGCCATGTTGAGCGAGTACATTTGTGAAGTTGCAGAGACAAATTCGAGAGGTTGTAATTACCAAGTTGTGGTTGTACTGGAAAATGGACTCAGGTAAAACAAACAAAAAACAAACAAAAAGAGTAAATGTTGCATTTCAAGTCTACAGCTGTCTTTGTATTTATGTAAATATCAATCCACACATTTGTGAATATATATTGAGAACACGCGTGTGTGGAAGGTGTTTGAGTGTAACTTTCAACATACAAGTTAAGATGTATTTTATACAAGCTTTCATGTTTTTTTTCTTTCTGGGACTTCAAATTCAGCTCACATGTTCCTGAATGTTTTATACAACCAAGAATTTTAACATACAGGTTCAGATTTTGTCCAACAAGTTGTATTCTACAAGTGCTCACATTTTGTATCGTAAAGTAGCCCAAATCTGAACTGGAAAAAATCAGATCAATGTGAAACAATCGATCTGGCCTAGAGTCAAGGAAAAAACTATGGAGATCAATAAA